AAGCTTTATACCTGCGGGGACAGATTGGCCGTGCTTACCCGTCTACGGCCTTTTATCAATATTTCCGGATGTCTCAATGGTCATTTCATACATTATTAGAGAAAATAGAATCTGGAATTAAAAAACAAACGACATTTTGGAGAGAACCAATAAGTCCAAAAAAAACGACTCGCTGTTTGTTTAAGGTAAAAATAATAATATACAGGGTGTCCCAAAGCACCCTTGACAACGCTCGTGAGCAGGTAGAGCACAGTAAAACTTATAATTTCCCAAAATAAAATTATTTCGTGGCAAGGAAACGCTATCGTTTCTACACCACCTTGAGGTAGATAGCTTGGCGCGTTTTTTTTTAAGTGGTTTCCCTAGTAGGCCTAATCCATTCTCAAAATTTAATGCAATAACTGTTCGAAGTGTCTTCCTCGTGCTTGTAAGCAGAGTTCGACTCTTCCAGTTATTTGTCGCGTCGCACGGTGCGCCATGTCCGACGTAATACTATTAAAGGCCGCTAAAATAGCTTCGCGTACCTCATCTTCGGTACCATCACGATGGTGCTCGACTGAAGCTTTTACATAGCCCCAAAGAAAATAGTCTAGCACGTTCAAATCTGGCGACCGTGCCGGCCAAACGATAGGGGCACCTCGACCTATCCATTTGTCCGGAAAACGCGCGTCTAAAATTTCTCATACTCGACGGGAATAATGTGCGGGAGCTTCATCGTGCTGAAAAATCAGCTTTTCTCGCGCGCAAAGAGGAACATCCTCCAAAAGTTACGGCAACTTGTTCTCAATGAACTCCGCGTACGTCTGTCCATTGAAATGTGGCGGAAGGAAATATGGGCCGATCTGAAAATCGCCAATAGATACATTACGAGGACAGTGCGGGAAAAAAGATATTTTAATTTACAAACATATTTACCACTCTGTTTGCAATTACTCCTGCCCATACATTCATCGACCAGCAATATTGAAATGAGCACTGACGGATGGCGTGAGGATTCTCCTCTTGCCAGATCACGAAATTGCGAGAATTAAAGACGCCATTTTGTGTGAATGTGGACTCATCTGTCCATAAGATACGGTCGGGAAATGAAATGTTTTGCCGACACTGTGCGATAAACCCTGCGCGTGTTTTATTAATGATTATCAAATGCTAAAAGTGCCGTGAATATCGAAGAAAAACTGAAATTAAAAAAATGAAAATACCTTCGCAGAAGTGGACGCGCTGTATTTCGTCTCGTGCAAGAAGTTGCTGTACACGTTGGTAATGGAATGGGTGCAACCCATTATTTCGTAAAATGCGATGCACCGTGGATCGTGGTATACCAAGTGCATGAGCAACACGGCGTATACTATTTTGCGGATTTTCTTCAAATGCACGCAGTACTTCCTCGTCATCATTAACGTGACGACGTTACTTTATTCATACCACATTATTCCCGTCGTCGTACCCCGACTCTCGTCGCAGGGCCACCAAACTTTTCGTTGCCGTGCGACACTGCGAAGCTCGCCGCTGGCACGCCTAGAACGTACGTCCCACGGTCTAGCCGCGGGAAACGCGCACTCATTCGCCAATCTTTTTTAATTAATATTTCAATAATTATTGCGAAAATTGCAAAATGGTACAGGACTTTTCTGTTCAGTTTACTGTGCTCTACCTGCTCACGAGCGTTGTCAAGGGTGCTTTGGGACACCCTGTATTTGGTTTATAATGTTTATAAGGTTATTAAATGTTTTTTTAATAATATAAATTTTTTGTGGTGAATAAATGCACGACGCTGTTCAACATATAGCTTATAAAATATTCCAAAAAACTTTTAAAGTAAACATATATTTATAAGAAAAATCTTGCTTACAATAAACTTTGCTTAAAATAGATTATAGTGGACAATAATAAATTTTTTTAAAACTTCTTAAACATACTATTTTTTTAATTTCTTCAAATTTAAATAAATTTATAATTTTGTTATTGTTACTTTGAGTAAGGAGGATAATATTGTTGCAAAATATCAGTAAACGATGAACTTGATTGCTGTTCTTGAGTTATTGAATAGTATAATAATAATAGAGGCTCTCGAGATTAAAATCAAATATAGTAGAAAAGGGCATTTAGAGCCACGCGCGGTAAGTAGTGCGCACAATGTTTATTATTAGTGATAAATTAATACCAATATAAATTACGAACGTTTTGACCCTTTATTTGGGTCATCTTCAGCGCAAAAGTTAAACTAAGCGCCACTGCACAAGCTTTTCCATAACACGTTACGTTACGTTAAGTACTGACTGTAAACCTAAATTCATACGTAACCTTAAACTTCAGTCAACGCACAAACAAAATTGTAACGTAGTATGCTTTTGTTACGTTACGATTTTCTCTGTGCGTTGACTGAAGTTTAAGATTACGTACGAGTTTAGGTTTAGAATCAGTACTTAACGTAACGTAATGCATTACGGAAAAGCTTGTGCGGTGGCTCTTACGAAAATAAATTTAACGTCGCATAGTTTTAAAATTAGTCATACATAGTCATAAATTAAATTAAAAGTAAAGAACCGGAGGTCTCTCACATCTTCGTGACATACGTTGATAATTCTTCCGTGTCGTTGTGAAGGTAACTAACTTTGCGGTTGTTATGCCGAAAATCAGAGTCCGACTTATAAAAACTCATATCTATACGTAATGTACCTGTGAATCGAGTAAGAAAGATACAGATGTGAGAGATTCGCTCAAATTTAAAAAACTAGGAAACAATGGTGCAACTTACAACTATAAACGACGCGTCACATGTTGTGTGATAATATAACATAGATGTAATTAAAACTATTGTGTAAAATGTAGGAGACCGACTCACTAGCTATTGAACTGAGTAATGACATCGATCATGAACAATAAGGTGAAAAGAGAAAATAAATAACAATATATGGCGTGACAATAATAAAGATCAAAATAAAAGTATGATAAGTAAAAACTGGGAAAACATAAGAGTGTAAAATGGTAAACAAAAATAAATAAAAATAAATATAATAAAAGAGATAAGTTAAACCTATAAAATTAATAAAATAATAAAAAAATAAAAAGTATCAATAAGTTATGTCATTAAATTGAACACACGAATTTGAAATCAAATTTTGGAAAGCTTATCAAGCACAGAAAAATACATGTCGGGAAGAGATTCCGTGTCCGTCTGCAAATTCAAACCGTTATTCTGCCTTTTTATGTATAGAATTTCAGAAATCAATCGCCTACGTAATTGAGGTTCATTGCCTAAAATTTTGGCCCCATCCCAATCAAAATTATGGTTGAAATTTATTCTGTGATCAGTAATAACCGAGTGATTGCTGGTATTTCTTCTGATATGATTTTTATGCTCCGTAATATGCGTATTTAATTGCTGTTTAGTCTGACCTACATATGAGGCATCGCAATCATTGCAGTCAATTTTGTATACGACATTTTGACGAGCCGTCAGAGGGCAGGAGTCTTTATGTACTTTTATAAAGGAGTTCAATTTATTAAGACTCTGATAACACAGCCTTACGTTTAAATCTCTAGTAATTCTTTTGAATTGTTCAGATATCGCAGGAACATACGGAATCGTGAATCGTTTTAGGCGTTCATGTAAAACGCGGGAAACAAAATTCAGGGGTTAACCATTGTCTAACAATATTTCAATAATCAATTTAAAATTATTCTGATGAAAGCTCGGATGCGATAACAAAAAAATCCTGTCAATAAGACCAATTATGATGCCCCTTTTTGACAAAGGGGGTGGTTAGAAAGGAAATGCAAATATCTTCCAGAAAACGTAGGCCTGCGATACCAATCAAAAATCAAGCGGTTCTCCCTCACGATCATGGTAATGTCCAAAAAATTCAATTTCTTCTCCTCTCCGATCTCAACTGTAAACTGTAATCTCGGGTGAAAGCGTTAAAGATATGTAGAGCGTGGTTAAGATAGGAAGCGGGAACCGCCAGAGAAATATCGTCGACATATCTAACGTAAAACGGGGAAGTGAACTTAAGAGATTCCAGGCCCCGTGTTTCTAGGTCTTGTAACACGATAGCAATAATAGGAGAAAGTGGAGAACCCATAGGAGTACCGAAAGTCTGTTTATAAAACACTCCATTGAAAGTAAAAAAGGTAGAGTCTAAAATCATTCTGATTGCAATGAGAAATTCAGATTTAGGAATATTGCAATTCCCGGAAATATGTTCCCATCTGGTTGAGACATTGTGGATGGCCATTTCGATTGGAACGTTAGTAAACAAAGAAACGACATCCAACAAAATTAATTGAAAATTGTTGTCGATGCTAATATCAGAAAGTTTTTTAACCAGGTAAAAACTATTAGTGACGTGGCTGTGGGTGGTGGCAAAATTTTTGAACATAATGCGATGAAAAAATGAAGCTAAATTGTATAACGGACTATTGACAGATGAAACAATTAGTCGGAAAGGGCAACCAGGCTTATGGACTCTGGGAAGTCCGTATGCTTTCGGCAAAATGCCGTCGCTACAATATAGTGATCTATATGTCGAGGGCGAAATAAATTCTAAATCTCTCCATCTTGAAAGTAAGTCACGTAAGCGTGTAGTGAGATTTTTTGTTGGATCTTTTTTAATTATATTGTAGGTGTTAATGTCCTTAAGTAACTCCTCAATATTACAGAAATATTCTTGTTTATCAAGTACAACCGTAATATTTCCCTTATCTGCACGTGTTACAATTAAGTTGTCGTGTTGTTTAAAAAATAGTTTGCACGTAGAAACTAGTTGTTTTATATATATGTTGAAATCGCACTTCGGATAAGAATAAAGAGGAAGGTTGTTAATGATGTTTATGGAACGATTACGGATGGTTATTTGTGTTGCAGGAGGGAGTTTTCATGAGATTGCACTCGATATTCTTTATAAATTCCATAATTAGTTTTTTTTTTATTGGAAAAAGGGAGACTGAAATTTTCACCTATTTGTAGGAGACCTTGAACATTCTCAGGAATAGGGGTAGAAGACAGATTCTTAAACCACTTGTTATTGAGTGGTAATGGTAGCTGTGGTCTGTCCACAAAGGAGAAAGGATCTACACAGATCTCCGAAACCCGGAGACCATCACTATTGTCAAGTGGTTTGAACGAAAACCTGCGATGCTCCGTGGTTGACCGAGAAGGAGAACAGCAAAAATATCGAACGGGTCTAGAATCCCTTGTTTCCCAATTATGTTCAGATAGTAGGCGATTGAATTTATTGTTGAGTTTTCCATGTTGGTTAATATAAAAGGAATAGTTTTATTGAATAGTTGGTTAATATAAAAGGAATAGTTTTATTGAATAGTTTTTATAACTTGAATTAAAAGTAGAAAATTCAGCCGGCCATGTATGTTTTGAATTTATTGTTGGAGAAATGGCTGGTATAGAAGTAGATGGTGGAGTTGTATAATTAGGTGATGGGGAAGGTGATGGCGATGATGATATGAAAGATGATGTTTCCGGAGGAGTTGCATATTTTTGTTGCATATGCGTGATTTGATCCATTTCTATTTCTTGCACTATATTAAAAAATTTGGATTTTGCTATATTTAAATGATATGAACTTAAAGATTTCAAGGTTGGCGCTAATCCAGCAAGAAATGCATCAACTGGATGAATTACTCGTTGGCTTTTTTTTTCATTCCGCTCTAGCATGTATTTCATCAAAGTAGCTGATGCTGTTTCGGGACTTTTGAATTTTGATTTTGTGCTCTCCACTTTCCTTTCTTTATAAAATTTTAATGATGATGATGATGATGATGATAGGTTTGAAATGGTAACATCATCAATATTTTGGTTTAAGTTTTCCACATTTTTAACAGGTTAGAACTGTTGATTGATTCAAAAGACGCGTCTAGTCAGATACTAGTTATTTTTCTTTATTACTTTCGTTACTCTATACCGTAAGCGCGCGACTAACAAAGATTTTCCGCTTCCGCTTCTTCTTCTTCTTCTTCCTGTTCTCGTGTGCGCGACCACGTTGTCTTTTATGTATCAAGAGTTTAGCAAATATACTTTGTATCACCGCAATCCATAGTGAAATACCGATTATTTCCTGACAACCTCAACAGGTTCCATGAATTTTGATTTTGATATTCTTGCTCGGTCTCAATCACCTTCTTCACTGTCATCGTTATCATCGTCATTATATTGATCTTCGTCATTTTCATTGTCTAAAATTTTCTCTGCCTTGTTTAAATTACTTTTAGTTTCTATTTCTTTCATAAAAGGTACTAAGAAACTTAACTGATCTTCATATTTATATTTCTTGAATTTTACTGCTGCTTGTCCACTTTTGGTTATTCGCTTTTTTAATGATTTTCGAAAATTATCCCGAATATTATTCCATCGAGCTTTACATGCAGCGACTGCAAAAAATTATTTTTAATTGATTAAAAACAGATAATGAAAACTTTTTAATTGTAAAATAACATTACAGATTTTTGGCTACTGGAGACTCATTGCGAACTATTGCATTTAATTATAGAACGGATCATTCAACAGTATATGATATTGTTATAAATACTTGCAAAGTAATATATAAAAGGCTTATGCCTGAAATGATACCGCAACCAACAGAATCTAAATGGAAACAGATAGCAGCTGACTATTGGAATCTATGGAATTTTCCCAATTGTTTAGGTGCTTTAGATGGGAGACACATGATTATTCAAGCTTCACCTAACAGTGGATCTGAATTTCTCTATTATAAAAAATCATTTTCTATAGTACTGTTAGCTTTGGTTGATGCATGTTATAAATTTGTAATTGTTGATGTCGGCTCTTTTGGAAAGAATAGTGATGGAGGCATTTTATCTCATTCTGAAATTGGCAAAGCTCTCGAACGCAATACGTTTAATGTTCCTCCAGATAAGAATTTACCAGGAACAACAATAAAAGCACCATACGTTATTGTTGGCGATGAAGCGTTTTCGCTCAAAACCTACTTAATGCGACCATATCCTGGTAAACAATTAGATGATAATGAAAAAAGAATTTATAATTATCGTTTATGTCGCTCAAGGAGAGTTGTGGAAAATGCATTCGGCATTCTTACTCAAAGATTTTGCATTTATCAAAGGAAGTTACAATCAAAACCAGAAAATGTTAATTGGATAATTCTTACTACATGTGTTTTGCATAATTATATCAAAGATTCAGACGAAAGTATGATTAATGTATCCAATGATTCTGTTGATCGTGCAAATGCTAACACAACACTTCAAGATATTCCTGCCCGAGGTGGAAATGTTACACAACAAGCCTTTCATGTTAGTGATTTATATAAAAATTTTTTCGATTCACCAATAAGATCAGTTCCTTAGCAAAATGAAAAATGTTAAATATTTGTGTATTTGTGAATCAGTAATTATAATTTCAATTCACACATTACTATTGACGTCGATTTTTTACTATCATTAATAATAATAATAAATTGGTTATTATTTAACATACCTGGCTGTTCCAATTTTTTTGCTATTTCAGCCCACTTTTTATCTTTATAATTTCCATTCAGATATTGTGAATGTGCTAAATTATAAAATTTTTCATAATCGCGAACATATTCTATTAATTTTTCATCGTCCATTTATCCATTCATCATCCATTTTATAAATTATAGTGAAAAAAATTAAACTGCACAAGTCCAAATGTATAGCTAAACTGCTTAAAATTTTTGAGTACTCGGAGGATTTTGTCCTCTACGTCTCAGTGTTTTGTTTGAAATCGTTCAGATGTCACAGTGCCGTCATGATTCCGTGCCATCCGTTCAGTGAAAATATGGGCGCAGATCACTGTCTACGCACTGACACTGATACGGACGGCTGGATACTAATACGGATACTGAAATGTAAGAATACTCTAAAGGTCCATTTACACTTATCCGATCCGTATCCGTACCGTATCCGTACCGTACCGGCAAGATCGGTTACGATTATTTACACATATCCGGATCGCATCCGTGAATTTTTTGAAACAGTCACGTCAGTCTTTAGATGTACGTAATTGTGTGATCATGGCAGATCTGTCAGAAGATGAATTAGCTGTAATAGCATTAATTTTGGATGAGGAAGAGCCCCCTCAAAAAAGGAAACGAAATTTATGGATATACAAAGCATGGACAAAATGTAAAACGGAGGGTGAATTTTTTACTCTATACAAAGAGCTTGTTGATGATTCAACTAAATTTTATCAATATTTTCAAATGTCGGAACATGCTTTTAATGTGTTACTCAATATAATTGCTAATAAAATACAAAAACAATATACAAGATGGAGAGAACCGATTAAACCAAGAGACCGGTTAGCGATTTATTTAAGGTAAGAATATAAATAATAGAAAATACATATTGTTACGTTCGTCGCTCTCTCACTTTCTCACACTCGCGCACACGCATTGATTTGTCTCATTATAAAAAAGGGGGATTCCATTTAAGAAATTAAAGGTGTCCTTGACTTGATCTTAACGATGCCATCCAAGGTCAAACCAATGACACCATCTTATGTTCCTCTCAAAACCATACAATTTTTGTTCAAAACGTTTTCCTCTCAAATGCTTAGTTTTTGAAAGAAAAGGCGTGTACGGGTGGTCTAGGACACCCTGTATATACAAGGTGTCCCCAATTTAAATGTAAAAACTTTAGGAGCGTGTAAGGGGACCGATAAACTAAGACAAAAAGTCCTTTAGGGATTTGCTCGTTTTTGCTTCGTTTTGAAGAAAATCGCAAAAAATGAAACAAATAATTTTCACCAAAAAACTTAAAACAACACTAAAATTATTAGATTTATCAAAAAGTATTATAAAATAAAAATTGTAGAACATGGAATTAAGAAAAGAGAGTGAGTTAAAATCCTCCTGAGGTAAAATTAGA